TGCTCTTGCAGAGGGCCTTACCTGGGTTTCCAGCATGCACAAGGTGACTTCCAACTTCAGTTCCAGAGCATCTGTCACCCTCTTCTGGTTACCAGAAGTTACCAGACATGCACATGGTACACATGAATATACTTAGTCACACATGCATATATATATTAGTATTTAAAATGTAATGAATAAATTAGTTAAAAGGAAACCACTAATATAACATTTTTCTTCCCCCTCTCTTCCTTCTGTTATTCCTTTCTCCCACACTCACCCACTCACCCACCCACCCACTCACCTACCTACTCACTCACTCACTCACTCACCCACTCACTCACTCCCTGACTTACTCACTCACCCATTCACCCACTCACTTATTCACTCACTCACTCACTCACTCACTCACTCACTCACTCACTCACTCACTTATTCACTCACTCACTCACTCACTCACTCACTCACCCACTCACCCGCTCACTCACCCGCCCACTCACCCACCCACTCACCCACCAACCCACTCACCCACTCGCTATATTAGTCCAGGAAATTTTGGAAGTGACATCACTAATCTGGGCAGGCATCCTTTTCATTTGTTTGTTCTGTATTTTGAGAGGATCTCATTTTATGGACCAGGTTGAACTAGAACTCACTATTTAGCTTGAGCTGACTTTGAGCTGGAGCCCATTAACCATCTCACCTTGTTAATATATTTTTTCTTATTTTGCCAAAAGTATATTATATACTATTTTATAAAATGGTGGTTTTAGTATTTAAAATTTTTTATGATTTTTTTATTTTTATGTGCACTGGTGTCTTGTATGTGTGAGGGTGTTGATTCACTTGGGGCTGGAGTTACCGACAGTTGTGAGCTGCCGTGTGGGTGCTGGGAATTGAACCTGGGTCCTCTGGAAGAGCAGACCAGGCTTCCTAACTGCTGAACCATCTCTCCAGCACCAACAATTCTAGAATTTTAAAGCTGAACATGACATTCCTTTCTTTCTGGCACTATTATCTACTTCCCTTTCTTTTAGACATTGGGTCAACAACAGTTATTCACCGAGGAAGAACTAAAAGAGTATGAAAACATGATTGCTATGCAAGAAAGCGAGCTTAAGAAGAAGGCGGATGAGCTGCAGAAGCAGAAGGAAGAGCTGCAGCGCCAGCATGACCACCTTGAGGCCCAGAAGCAGGAGTATCATCAGGTAGACACTGAGGGGGTGTGGCTTGCAGAGAAGTGTTAGCAGATGAGATGTGGCCTTCAGGGGATGTCAGGCGCCCCTAGATGTGATGTGCATGGTCCAGGCTACTCAGACAGGAGGAATGCTTGAGTCCAGCTACCAAGTTGTACCACAGAGTGAAACCTGTCTCAAATAAACAAAAACAAACAAACTCAAGTTAGGGGCTGGAGGTATAGCACAGAGGTGGAGAATGTTCTTAACCTGTTTGCGGCCCTGGGCTTAGTCCTCAGTGTAACAATAATAACAAGAACCGAAAACCAAATGTTAGATGCTTGGCTGAAAGTCTGTGGATTTCTTTGTTTATGTTTGTTTGATTGTTTATTTCATTTTTTGAGACAAAGTCTCATGTAGCCAGGGCTGGCCTGGAACTCCTAATCCTCCTGCCTCTGCCTCAGTAGTACTGAAATTATAAGAGTACTACAGAACACTAAGCTAAGTTGTGCTTTTGTAATATATCATTAAGCTGTCATATTTTAAATTTAACCGTGTTTTAAAACTAGCTTTGTTACAATTTCTGTTTTGGAGTTGTGGAATCCATGAGAAAATGTCACACCAACTGAGCAGTGAAGGTGATTTTTATCTTTGCCAAGAGAGGAAAAATGAGGCAGACTCACAAACCAGCCTCCTAATCCTTGGCTGTTGGAAGATTAGAGATAAGAGTAAAAGAGATGAGGAGGATGTGGGCTAACAAAAGGATGTCTGTGTCCTTTCTGGGTGTAGGCATAGATTTCCCAGAAATCCAGGCACTGCCTTCTTTTGTTCTGGTACCATTCCTTCCACGACTCTTGCCAACTGTCCTGGCACTGGGAGGTGTGTCCTTTAGCCTATATATTGCCTGATAATGAAGTTAGAGTCTGACATAGTCCAGCAGCCACCTTTGATCCAACCAGATTTGCCAGCCCACCCGAGGGGAACTTCTGATCTACCATGCCTTGTTTTCAAGATAAACATAAGACTAGGGTGGGACGAAAATTCATCTGGGCCCCCTGAGCATCACTCAGGGTAACACATTCTCTTTATTAGTTACTTCTTCTGTCTCAGGGATAAATTCCAGGCAGAACTGATGTACAGGAAGGGGTTGTTTTGGCTCACAGTTTGAGGTTGCAGTCTGGCATGGTAGGAAGGCATGGTGGGCAGCGGTATGAGGCAGCTGGTGACATTGTATTCAAAGTCAGGAAGCAAAGACAAATGAATGTGGGTACTTCTCTTGCTTTCTCCTTTTCCTACAGTCTAAGACCCCAGTCCACAGAACGGTAATGCTCACTCTGAGGGTGTTTTTTCCCCTCACATCAATTACCTCAATCTCGAAACTCCCTCAAAACACATGCCTAGAATTTTATCTTCTAGATAATTGTAAATCTTGTCAAGCTTTCAGTCAGTATTTCCCTCTCACCAGGCTGTACAGCAGTTGGAACAGAAGAAATTTCAACAAGGGATCGCTCCATCAGGGCCAGCAGGAGAACTGGAGTTTAGACCACGTATGTAATTTTCCTTTATTTGTTTAGAGAAGTAAGCCATTACAAATTGATAACCATTTCCATTTTAAATACAGTCTATCTTCAGATGATTAAAATTCATGTTGCATTTTATATATTTGAAGAAATAGAGAAATCTACATTAAAGAAAATATGAAAAGTTTTCCAAAATTTTCATGAGTGACTATTTTTCAAATGCCACACAATTAGATGTTCATAATTAATGGTGCAGTGATTTATTAAAAATTATTTGTAATTCTTTATGATTATTTATATTGATCTTACTAGAGAACATGTTTATAATTTGTAATCTGTGATGAGTTCACCATACTTTTAAAAAGTAAAATTTGTATCTTTGTGTAAAAGAACATTTGGAATAAAGGAAGATATGTTTAAAATGTAAGCATACTTCTTTTGAACAGACACATAAAGTCCTGACATCTGCCAGAACTTGGAAGAGAACTGTTAACTTCTGTTTCACCTTTCAACATCCCGTCTTTAATCTCCACTCAATAAATACTTTAAAGCACATTTGGAATAAATGAAGAGACCTTGAAAGTGAGAACATAATTTTTTATTTTTTCACGCGGATATTTAAGGATTGAAATATTAAGGATTGGGTGACCAGTCTCAATGTGGGATTCTATTAAAAAGGAAAAGGGAATGTCCTCCCAGAACCAGAACAAAAACAAACTCAGCCACCCCTCTTATTGTTCTTCATTTGTTGTTAGTGGGTCAAGGGCCACATCCCATAGTTTGATGACACCGTCCTTATGTAGGTGAGAGAGCTCTGCCGTGGCTGGAGGACAGCCTGCTGTCACTCTGAGGGTGGTTTTCTTTCATGGGTGCTTATCTTCCTCTCTCAGCAAACCCTTTTTTGATATTCATGGGTATTCCCAAAAACCATCTTCCCCAGTGTTTCTGGTGACTTCGGCCTATTTTTAGCACCCCACCCTCTAGAAGGCTTCTGTTGAGTAGCGTCTGCCCCCACATCAGAGTTTCTTTATTCATGTGCCTGCCTTCTACCCCTCTGTGTAACAGAAAACCAACAACGGTTTAGAGTAGACAGAAAGTCTCGCTCTTTCTCTAAGGAAATCTCGGAGGAGTGTGGAAGTCTCCACTGTCCTACTCTGCCGCCCTCAGTGTGTGATTTTGTCCTCAAACCACTTCACTCTCTGTCTGTCACGGCAATGGGGAAGGGCAGGAAAAGGGACTTGAGGAATTTTCCAGAAGAACTCAGCAGTATTTGAATTTACATCTCCCATATTTTCACTGTCTTCGTGTGTTCAGGACCATACCTGAATGGACTTTAGGAAGGATGTTCTACTTGGCTGGCAGCCTTGGTCTGTGTTCTACGACTGCAGGTCACATGGTGCTCCTCATTGTCCTGCAAGCTGAATAACCAACCCACAAGGGAAGTGACCAGCCTCAATTTGGGATTCTCTTATAAAGAAAAAGGGAATGTTTAGGGGACACCTTTTGGTCTTAAATCAACCCCAGTCAGCTTTGTTCATCATCCACATTTCTGTCTGCACTCCCCTGAGACAGGAAACACCTCTTGAGCTCCAAGGAGCAACTCCCCAATCATCCCTACACATCAGCCCCAACACCATGGCACCATGGTTTCACTCTGTTGTCCTCTCAGTCAGGTTAGGCCATTGCTCCTTGTCTTTCTGCACCACACACAGGATGCCTGGGCATGGGGGAACTGCAGCAGGATTAGAGGAGGGATTGACATATGGGCTGGGAGGTAGCATGGGGACGCATTTGCCTGCCCTGAGCAAGGAAGGCCCTTGCTAACCCCCAGAACTGCAAGAAAATTAAAAAGCAGAAGAAAAGAGTCAGGAATGGGATAGCTGATCTTTAGTGTTTAAAAGGTACTATTTGACAAGAACAGTGGCTTTTGCAGCAATGTGTGCATATCCCTTTGCTTGCCTGTCAGGCAATGTTGATTGACATTTCTTAGAGTAGCTCCCTCCTCTCAATGTCCTCAGAGGCCGTGGGTTCTGTCTAGGAGATTTTTATGTTTATAAACATTAAGGGACTTTACAAAAGATCTCCTACTGGGCTGGCAGCATTAGCCCATGCCCTACTACTACAGGCTTCAGGCTCAAGGCTTGCTTTAGGCAACAGCTGTGGGCATTGTTAGGTTGATCATGTTTTGCTTTGTTTCATTTTTGCCAAATAGTTTCAAAAGTCTTAGCAGGTATCTTGGGTTTCTTTCCCTTCCTTTTAATCACTTTGATGAGCAACTAGTAAGAGGTATAGCTTTTGTTAATAATAATAATAATAATAATAATAATAATAATAATAATAATAATAATAGTAATAATAATGTTTTGAGACAGACTCGCATGCTGGCTAGGTACTCACTGTAGAGCCCCAGGCTCATTTTTGGCTTATGTCAGTCCTGCTGCCTCAGCTTTCCAAGGACTGGGATTGCAAGTATAAGCCTGGACGTTTGGTTAGAGGTATGGTTCCAGCAGTTTAAACCCAGGTTAGTTTTGTTTCTCCTGGATTTCTGATGGTGTTGATTGAATGCAGAGCTGTCAGCATGCTAGATAAGCACTCTGTCACTGAGTGACATCCTCTGTGACATTTTTGAAGAAAGGATCACATCATTTGCTGGCCTCTATGCTTGCTCCTTCTCTGGGGTCTTCACCCAGGGTACCTCCTGGGGGCTCTTTGGACTATAGGATTGGACGGGTTGACAGCATCCTTCCTTCACTGGGTCTTTTCCCTGGTATGATTTATTACCACTGGGAAGAAAATGACTTTTAAAAAAAGATTTAACTGTGTTTATTTTATGGATATGGATGCTTTCCCTGAATGTTTGTCTGTGCATCATATGTGTGCCTGGTGCCCAGGGAGGTCAGAAAAGACCATTAGATCCCCTGGGACTGGAGTTAAAGATGGTTGTGAGCCACCATGTTGCTGGTGAGAATTAAACCTGGATCCTCTCAAAGATCACTAAGTGCTCTTAACTGCTGAGCCCTCTCTCCAAGGCAGAAAATTCTTAAGGGGGAATCCTTGGAAAGGCTGAGGAAGCTTCAGGTCCCAGAATCTTTGCTTACTCCCAGGATGGGAGGACAGCTGTGGTTGAGTGTTTGAGTTCTTCGGGGCTCTAGATTTGAGCACTTCTCAGTTTATACCATCGTTACTGTTTGTAACACAGCCTGAATCATACTTACATTGTGGCTTTACTGAATCCTTTTTCCTCAACCAAGACACCCCCTTCCTTCTTTTTGTGGTGGCGGTACTTAAACCTACATGTGGCCTTGTGCCCATTGAACATGTGCCCTTGGTGGTGTGCTGGTAAATTCCTGTCATCCTAGTGTTAGGAAGGCTGGGGCAGGGTGGGGATGTAGGGGTGTGTGTACCTTGAGTTTGAGCTACATGACAAGACCTTGTCTCAAAAAATAGGCGATGAGATTTTCTCTAAGAGGGTTCTCATTCTCTAGCTAGAAGGGGATTAAAAAGTATAGATAGCTCACGGAATCTTTGGGAGGTTTTCAGATTTTTCTTGAAGAAATAGATCTAGGGCCTAGGATGGAGTTCAGCTTGCAAGAAGCCCAAAACTGCATAAACTGGGAACAGTGACACGCGCATATAATCCCAGCTCTTCAGAAGCCTAGGAAGAATGATAAGAGGTTCAAGGTCAAAAAAGTTCAAGGTTATCCTCTGGTACCACGGGAGAGACCCCCCTCCCCCTCACAAAAAGAAAAGATAAAGAAACAGATTAAGGTGCCTCACCACAAGAGCAAGCTCCGATAAGCTGCTGCCTTGGGCATAACCAACAGCCAGGAAGCTGCCTGCTGTGGCTGGAAACCTGGACCCTTGCCAGCTTCAGAACCTCACCAGCTCTGCCAGGTGCTGTGGACACAAAGGTGAAGGACTCACTTCCTGTTTCCATGACCACATAACTCCAGTCAAAGTCTCAAGTAAGTATGCCTGACTCACTAAAAGATTAATATCTGGAGCCCTCGCTGTACTGGAGGTTGGGAATGACAGTGTTTGCTTTCTTACCTCTATGTTACAGGAATGGGGATGAAAGGACAGTGTTTAACCTTGTTGCCTGTTGTAGGAATTGTTATCATTGAGCTACCCATCCACTTTAGTGCTTCAGAAGTTTTATGCCGCATTCCTATGACTGCCATTTTTGTTTTGTTTGCTTTTGAGACGGGACCTCACTGTGTAGCCCTGACAGGTCCGGAACTTGCTGTGTAGACCAGGCTGGTCTTGAATTTACAGAGATCTGCTTGCCTCTGCCTCTGAGACCAAGTTTCTCATTATCTTTGATTGATGAATGAGTCCTAATCTGTTTATAAGCAAATACACTGTTCTCCTCATGAATGCTTATTGCTGTCACAGAAGAGAAAATAATGGAGAAATGCTGTTTGTGGTAAGGAGTGTGCTGGGCCTCTTCTGAAAGTAGTTACCCTCCTCAAGCCAAGGCTGTGTGGGCTAGTCATCTAGGAAGCTGCTGGTGCAGTCTCCAGCATGCTCACTAGCGAACATGTTACTGCCCAGTCTAGTAGCATACATCTGCAATCCCAGCTCTGGCTAGGCTGAGGCAGAAGGAGAGGCTGTACTCAGTTGGAGGTCATACTTGAAGAAAGACTATGGACACATGCTGGCCATGCTTAGCTCAAGGGAGCTTATAGGGACAGACAGGGCAGTTCAATGGGTAAAGGGTATTTGTCACCAAGCCCGATGACCTCAGTTTGATCCCTGGGACCCACATGGCATTGGAAGGCAAGAACTGACTCCCGTAAGTCCTTGTGACCTCCACACACTCACTCCTGCCCAAACACCACAAAGAAATCTTTGTGTGTCTTTGTTTGAGACAGTGTCTCTTGTTATATCCCTGGTTGGTAAGAAACCTGCTGTGTAACCCAGGCTGGCCTTAGAGATCTGTCTGCTTCTGTTTCCTGAGTGATGGAGTTAAAGGTGTGCACCACTATGTCCAGCAGATATGAACACTTCTAGGCATGCTCAATTGATGGCATAGAAAGAGTGGGCAGCAGGCTAGGGAGATGCCTCCATAGGTATGCAGGATGGCTGTGCAAGCATGAGGACCCGAGTTCAAATCCCACGACTTGTGTAAAAGGTGTGGCATGTCTGCATGTCTGCATGCCTGCAACCTCAGCATTGGGGAACGAAGACAGGTGGATCTCAAGACCTCACTAATCAGCCAGTCTAGCTTCTGGTTCAGTGGGAGATCCTCTCTTACAGGAATAAGGCAGAGAACAATAAAGGAAGACACCTAGTGTCCTGCTCTGGTTTCCATATGCAGGTGCACCGACACACCTCTATGTATACATCACACATACCACACACAACACACCAATAAAACAAAACAAAACAAAACCCCTAAAGGTGGAAGGAAAAAAATTCTTCTATACATGCTTGGTTTCTATCCCCCCCCCCCAAATGTTTAGCTGATACCAAAGAAAAGCAAATTTGAAGATGTGTTAACATGGGCTCTTCGCTCTAAGGGCATCACCTGACCAGGCTGCTAATACTTTCTAATCATTGCACCCTCTTGTACACGCTTGATTTCTTCCTGTTTTAAAATAACAGATGCTTGCATTACTCTGTGGTTTACATGATGCTCAGGTTTTTCCTTCTGACTCTGTGTTCTTGTGGTGCGTGTGACACAACAGAAGGGCTCTCCCTACAGCCCTGCACCGTGAGTCTCATGTGGTTCATTAGAAACTTACATAGCTCAGCTCTCCAGTTTCAGCGCCTCGGCTCTCCTGTTTGATTATAGTCCTGTCTGTCTGTGCTGGGGCACTGCTCTGGTCCTTCCCTTCATGAGGAGTCCTTAGGCCAAGCAGCCTCTACCTGATGCTGCCCTTGTAGCCCCAGGTCTACAGTTGTGAGGCTTGCAGTGTCTGCTTCTCATTCTTTTTCCTCACGTCCATCCTTTGCAGAATTTTTGTCTGGCTTAACCCCCTTTCTCCCTGCTGCTTGGTCACTCTGAGCCCTGTGATGCCTTTGAACTTTTGGAGGCCATTTTGGACCTGTTTTTAGACCTTCATGGTCCAAGTCTGAGGTTTCCTGGATGGGCTGCATAAGCTTTTTTTCTCTTAAATCACAGATCTCAAAATTAAATATAGTAATTTAGAGGTGATGAGCACTTGAGACTTGGGAAATGGAGGCAGGAGGATCAAGAGTTCAATATCAGTATGGACAAAAAGAGACCTTTTCTCAAAACAAAACCAAAAATTAAACAGGTAAAAAGAAACATTTATTGACTGGAGATGTCAGCTTATTGGTAGAACACTTACCTAGCCTGCCCAAAGCCCTGGATTTGATTATCACCACACACACACACACATACACACATACACAAGTAGCGGTAAAAAAAAAAAAACCCTCTAAGACACATCTATATTTACACACCATACGTACACAAAAATTTGTGTATATAGCATTATGTTTTGCAAATTGAATATATTGGTGATACTGTAAAACTAAATTCACACCTGTTTTCACATATAAAGCACTTGCAAATTATAGTGATTTTTAAATTAACTTAGTTGATTAAAGAGTGAATGAGAAATACCTATTTTCTATATTGTGAGGTTTTGAGGATCCTACTTCTGGTGTGTACATAAAATTTTAATCTGTCTTGCAGCTGTCCTGAACAATCACGATACCGTCAAGGAGTCAGAGTGAGAGGTGAATTCCTTCATGTTCGTGCAAGATTCTCATCCCCAAGGACCTGCAAAAGAAGTCTTCCCTCAAATGAACTGCCTCAATGGAATTCTTACAGACTTGTGAGGCAAAGCCTCATAGCTCAGGCCGACCTTGATCTTGCAACCCGCTTATCCCTCTGCTGGAGCACTCAGTAGGCATATACCTCCACACCAACCACAAGATCAGTATTTTTCAAACTTGTTAGTACTTGTTGAGACTGAAGTCTAAAGTGTACTGAAAAGGACAGTTTGTATTTAATTTCTGAGGGCGACATGATGGAACAACAACTTGGAAGTGTGGCATTTGAAGCCAAGCAGGTCTTTCTTTTTTTTGAGATAGGGTCCTTGGAATTTGCCATGTAGTCCAGACTGGCCTTGAGCTGTTGGTGATTCCCCTGCTTCTGACTCTCTAGTGCGGAGCTTATAGGAATCCTCCATGTTCATCTTTTCTACTTACTTTAAAGCTTATTTCCTAATTAAGTAATTAGCGATGAATTCATAACCACTTCTCAAAGAGTCATAGAACTGAGTCAGAACAAGCCGCAGCAATTGCTTATGATGCCAATCTGAGAAATGTGAGCTTAAGCCTTCCGCACTGTCAGCCCATTTATTGAGAGAGCAACAGAAAACCAATAAAAATTTAAATTAAAACGTTTAGAGCCTTTCAAATATTGCTTATTGGGCAATATAGAAAAACAATAACCCTTCACAATGACAGATGTTTACAGGTTTTAATGGCGGTGTTTGACGGCACTGTCATTAGTGAAGGTCTTAACTGATAATAGTCCTGCACCTGCTGATGAGGCGTGCCTTGGACCAGCTTGGGCATCATCTTCATGACTGTACTTCTGCCTCCCTGCTCATTTTCCTGGTTACCCTTTCTGTAGCGTGTTTTGCTTGTAACTTGTTTTCCTCGTCTTGGAATTAAGCCTAGGATATGACACAGACTATGCAAGTTCTCTATTCTACCACCTAGCTATATCCTCAACTCTTCCTTTGGATGGGTGGGGTGTTTCTCCCTGTAACTTTGGCTGTTTTGGAACTCACTCTGTAGACCAGGCTGGCCTCGAACTCACAGAGATCCACCTGCCTCTGCCTTTCGAGTGCTGGGATTAAAGCATGTACCACCAACACCTGGCTCCCCAACATTTTTTGAAACATGCTTTTTAGGACTGTAAAAGTTTTTAAGGATCTTTATGACAATTTAACAATCTGGAGAAGCTGTGACCTCTAGAATTCATAGAACTCACACTTCAGTCCCAAAGCATTCATAAATATGGACAGCATGACAGGCTTTTCTTTTTATAAGGTCCCATTTTAAATGGTAAAAGATGACGGACTGCTAGCCTGTGGTGGCACACGCCTTTAATCCCAGCACTTGGAAGGCAAAAGCAGGCAGATCTCTGTGAGTTTGAGGCCAGCCTTGCCTATAAGAGCTAGTTGCAGGACAGGCTCTAAAGCTACAGAAAATCTGTTCTCAACTCGCTGCCCACCCCCCAAAAGATGATGACCACAGTCATTAGTCCCACTCCTTAGAGGCAGTGATGTCCTTCTGCAGCTCAGTGTGCCAGGGCTGTGAGGCTACTCCATCATCCAGAGTCTATAGCTTAATTCCTACACTGAATAGGAAATTCCATGGTCCAACCATAGTAAACCATCCCCAGCAACACTCTTGGCTGTTTTTTTAGGCATTCACGTTCAGGTGTCAATGTCCCACCAACCTTTATAGTTCTACCTATTGTCCTCTATCCTCATCACCAAGATAATTGAAAAGCTTCATTGTAGGGTTAAGCCCAGCCTTAGGGGGCGTGTCCGCCTCGGGCGAATGTTTACCTATAAATCTGTGGGGGGGGAAGGGCTCCTGTTCTCCGTGGGAACTGTGATACTGTAAATCTTATTTCCACATTAAAGCTGTGTATATGTTTTACAATCTGTTTGCATTCATTTACGCTGTTAAACTTCATTGAATATAACATGATACTGAGATGTAGCTCGTGAAATCTAACTTTAGGGGATCATACAGGATTGAATTTTCAGCAAGAAATAGCTAGGGTATATTTACAAATACTGATGCCGCAGTGAGTTTGAATACAAAGGAACTCAAAACTGCCCTGCTCATCCTAGAAAAGTGGTTCTCAACCTTCCTAATGCTGTGACCTCTTAATACAGTTTCTTACGGTGTAACCTACCAACCATAAGATTATTTTATTGCTGCTTCATTATTGTAAAATTTTGCTGCTGTTATGAATCATGCTGTAAATGTCTGATATTCAGGTATCTGATATGTGACCCCTGTAAAAGGATCATTTGACCCCAGAGGGGTTGGAGCCCACAGGTTGAGAACCACTGTTCTAGGAAGCGCTCATTGGCCCGGGGTTACAGGTTTTCCACCATGGGTGCTCATCTCACTCTGACACAGAACCATACGGTTTGCAGATATATCAGCAAGATCACATATTGACACACAAAGCATGAGGCACCCTCCTAATGCTAGGAGCATCAGTGGGGCTGCATACTTTCACCCAGGAACTCAAGGGAAACAGGAAGTCCCAATCCTTGTTTATATGAATTAATCAAGCTAAATAAGAGGCTGGCTAGAGCTCTAGCCTTGGCTTATAATCTATAGCAAGCAATTGATTTGGTTTTTGTTGTGCAAATCTGATTATCTATTTTTATCTTTATTAATAATGATAGTTTCTAAGCCTTTTCATATTCATTAATAGATTCACCACCCCCACTTTTGTGAATAGAGAACTGCCAGCCAGTACCATTTAACAAGGGTTAACATTCAGGACAGGCTCCAAAACCACAGAGAAACCCTGTCTCGAAAAACCAAAACCAAAACAAAACAAAAAACAAAAAACAAAAAAACAAGGGTTAACATAGACAGTGAGTCCAAAACTGAAAGGAAGTCCATGCCATAGTTGGGACTTTTCCAGAAGTCCCATAGATGGTCACATTGTCCAGGGCTGTGGATAACAGCCAAATGTCTGGCTGAACCTTTCCTCTGGAGACATTATAGCAGGATATGTGCAACAAGGCAATTGTGGAATGTTACCTTTATTCAGACCAGGTGGATGCCTGCAAGACAAGTCATCCAGCGCTTCCGTTTTCTGCTCAGAGACATGGAGCTCTTTAGAACTATAGGTCACGTCTTCCAAGGGGGGAATTCCATTCTGAAAGCAGGGCACCAGATTCTGACAGCATACTGGAAAACGTCTATCCAACAGGGTAACCTGTGAGTGATTAGAAACCAGAGAACCCAAGTGAGAATGTATTGATGATGTCTTAAAAAACTGTACATCCAATCCTTCCCAGACCCCAAATCCCTAAGCTGTATGGGCCATTCAGATGAGAGGGACACACACCAATGACAAGTAGGAATACTGGGTGATATCCCAGTATAGTTAAAGAGAGGGACTAGAAACATTCAGATCAGTTACCTCAGTCTGATATTTATAACTGTTACATAATAATTTAATAGCCAGATGGTTTTTGAGAGACTTTAAACATTTTATTTTTTAATTTTTCTAACAATACTTTTATTGATTATTTTGAAACTTCACACAGTACACCCCAATTACATTCACTCCCCAGTCTTCCCATGTCTTCTGTACCTACCTTGTGACTTTCCCAAAAATAAAAAGAAGATGAGAAGAAGAAGAAGAAGAAGAAGGAGAAGGAGAAGGAGAAGGAGAAGGAGAAGGAGAAGGAGAAGGAGAAGGAGAAGGAGAAGGAGAAGAAGAAGAAGAAGAAGAAGAAGAAGAAGAAGAAGAAGAAGAAGAAGAAGAAGAAGGAGAAAAAGAAGAAAATACTAAGTCTAATTTGTGTTTCCTATATACTCACTGGAGCATGGTCAAACTCCCAGTAGCCAGCCTCTTAAAGAAAACTGAGTTCTTCCCCACTCCAACCCCCATCAGAATCCATCAGCTGTGAAGAGCTATGATGCTTTAGCATTCCTATCATGATTTTTAATAGTTCTCTCTAATGACTTCCTGTCTGGATTGTTTCTTTTGTTGGGGTGTGGGGTGGAGTAGTTATCACAGAAGCCTTCTGTGTCTTTCATTCTTAACTATGAGTCTGCAAAAGATCCTAATGCAAAAGAAACTTCCTTGCTCTTTGTAGTCAGCAGCAGCATGGATTATGGACTTCCACGTGGACATCCCCATAGCCTTCAGTGGTAACATGGGCCATGGACACAAACATGGCCCCTGGCAGCAGCATGGCTCATGGACATCAGCATGGGTTCAGGTGACATCACAGACCATGAGGCTTTGGTGGTAACACCAGCCATGGACATCCACATGGCCTCAGGTGGCAACACTAGCCACATACATCAACATGGCCTTCAGTGGTAACATGGGCTACAGATATCAACATGACTCCTAGTGGGAGCACCGGGCATGGACATCATAAAGTTTTCAGTTACAGCACAAACCACAGAAATCAACATGGATTCAGGTGGCAACACAGATCATGAACATCCCTGTGGCCTTTGGTAGAAACATGAGCCATGGACATCAACATAGCCCTTGGCCACAGCATGGATCATGGACACCATTGTGACCCTTGGCAACACCCTGGTCCATGGACAGCAACATGACTTCAGAAGGCAACTCAGACTATTGATGTCCACTTAGCCTTTGGTGGTAACACTACTCCTGGACATCCATACAACTATGAATCCAGGTGTTTAGCTGTCAGCATAAAAACACAATAACAGCTAAGACAATATGTCTCCACTAGAGGCCAGAAACTCTGCTACAGTAGGCCCTAAGAAATGCAATATAGCTGAAGCACAAGACAAGAACTTCAAAATAGCAATTATGAATATGTTAGTGGTCTTTAAAGAGGAAATGAATAATTATTAAATCTATAAAAATGCAAACAGTGGAATGAAATGAGTAAAATAGTTTAAGACCTGAAAATGGAAATAAGAAAAATCCAAACTGAGGGAAAACTGAAAGTGAAAATTTTTGGGACTTGAGCTGGGTGGTGGTAGCACACACCTTTAATTCCAGCACTCAGGAGGCAGAGGTAGGCAGATCTCTGTGAGTTCGAGGCCAACCTGGTCTACAAGGGCTTGTTCTAGGACAGGCTTCAAAACTACAGAGAGATCCTGTCTCAAAAAACCACCACCACCACCACCAACAAAAAGAATTTAGAAACTTGAGAGGCAAGCCTCACTAGGAGAATACAAAAGACAGAAGAGAGAAACTCGGCCATTGAAGAGAAGATAGAAGAAGTGCATACCCCAGTCAAGGAAAATGTTAAAACTAAAAAAAAAAATTCAGGCACAAAACATCTAGGAAATCTGGGACACTATGCAAAAACTAAATCTGCAAAAAATAGGAATAGAGGAAGGAAAAGAAACCCAGGCCAAAGGAACAGAAATTATTTTCAGCAAGAACATAGAAGAAAATTTCTTTAAACTAAAGAAGAAGGTTCTAACAAGGTACTAGAAGCATACAGAACACCAGTTAGACTGTACTGGAAAAGAAATTCTCCATGACCCATAATATCTGAAACACTAAATGTACATAACAAAGAAAGAATATTAAAAAGCAACAAGAGAAAAGGAACAAATAACATATAAAGGCAGACCTATTAGAATAATACCTGACTTTACAAGGGATACTCTAAAAGCCAGAAGGTCCTGGACAGATATTCTATGGACTCTAAGAGACCACAGATGCCAATCCAGACTACTAGACTCAAAACTTTCAATCATGGCCGGGCGATGGTGGTGCACGCCTTTAATCCCAGCACTTGGGAGGCAGAGGCAGGCAGATCTCTGTGAGTTCGAGACCAGCCTGGTCTACAAGAGCTAGTTCCAGGACAGGCTCCAAAACCACAGAGAAACCCTGTCTCGAAAAACCAAAAAAAAAAAAAAACCCAAAAAAAACATAGGGAATAAATAATCCCAGACCAGCAAATCAAAGGTATTATGTGTAGGGACACACCATCACCACCAAAAAAAATAACAGGAATCAACGAACACTACTCATTATTAACTCTCAACATTAACAGTCTCAATTCTCCAATAAAAAGACAAAATGTGAAAACAGGTTTCATTCTACGTATCCAAGACACACACCTTAATATCAAAGATAGACATTACCTCAGGGTAAAAGTATGGGAAAAGATATTCCAAGTGAATGAACCCAAAAAGCAAGTTGGTGTACTAGTTTTACTATCTGGCAAAATAAACTTCAAACCAAAACTAACCAGAAGAGATAGGAAAGGACACTGCATACTCATCAAAGACAAATATACCAAGAAGGTGTTACAATTGTTAACATTATGCACCAAACATAAGGCTACCCAGGTTTATAAAAGAAACATGACTACAGCTTAACTAACATATTGATTCTAATATACTCATAGCATGTAACTTCAATACCTCACTCTTGCCAATAGTCAAGTCATCCAGACAAAAACAAAACAGAGGAATCCTAGAGCTGACATCATAAACTAAACGGACTTCACATATTTATAGAACACTTTACCCAGACATAAAAGAATATACTTTCTTCTCAGCAGCTCATGGAACTTTCTTCAAAATGGAATACATACTTGGACACAAAGTAAATATCAACAGGTATAAGAAAATTGAGATAATACTCTGCATCCTATCTGATCAACACAAATTAAAGTTGAATATCAACAACAACAGAAAGCTTTCAAACTCACGGAAACAGAACAACTCACTACTGAATAAAGAATGGGTCAAGACAAAAATTAAGAAATATATTGAAAGCTTTCTAGAATTGAGTAAAAATGAAACCCAATATACCCACATTTATGGGATGTAATGAAGGTGGTTCTAAAATACAAGTCCATAGCATTAAGTGCCTACATGAAAAACATTGGTCTGTGGGCCATGCTGTCACTGGGGGCCTCATTGGTGTCCGTAGCTTGTTGCCACTGGATGCTATGTTTGTCTCCATAACTCATGTTGCCTCTAGAGGCCATATTGGTGTCCTAGTTTATTGCCTCTGGAGTGAAGCACGATTAATAAAAACTCAGAGACAGATATTGGGGTTCAATCTGAAGACTAGAAAATCACTGTCAATTCTAGAGTTTTGGGAAGTTGCTTACAGTGCACTTCTTGTTTACTTAGGTAATATCCTTCTGGGGTCTTTGAAAAGTTGAAGACAAATAGTTATATAGTTTTCCTTAGTTATGATAAAAGATAAATTGGACATAAAACTTAAGACCCACAAAGATAGGATAGATGATAGAGTATTTTCCTTAATTTGTCAAATGTAAATGGACTAAATATTATAACTATAATTCTTGCTTGATAACTGTTTTGTATATGTAATTTTACTATGTTAAAGTTAAAAACTTTCCTTTTTGTTTGTAAAGAAAAGGGGAAATAGTATGGGAAGTCCTTTTGTATATGTGGTGCTTTTGTTGATTAATGAATAATCAATAAACTGTTTGGGCCGATGGCAGGGCAGAATAGAGCAAGGTGGGAATTACAAGCAGAGATAGAAGAGAAAAGAAGGCAGAGTCAAGGAGAAGCCATGTAACTGCCAAAGGAGACAGATGCTGGAGAGCCTTACTGGTAAACCATGAGCATTATAGTGATACATAAATTAATAGAAATGGGTTAATTCAAGATGTAAGAGTTAGCTAGAAATATGGAAAAGTTATTGGCCAGTGTTGTAATTAATATAGTTTCTGTGTTATTATTTGGGTCTGGGCAGCCGGGGAAATGAACGAGCAGTCTCTGTCAACAAAATGGCCACTGGCTCTTACATTGACCTCAGTCCATAAATGGTGATCCTCCCTCCAGGAAACCTCAGAATGAGACTGAGAGTGAGAACCGTCTCCTCCTGTTTTATAATCCTCTCTAGTTCTGGGATTAAAGGTGTACACCTCTACCACCTGGTTTCTATGGCAAACTAGTGTGGCTATTGGGATTAAAGGTGTGTGCAGAGGAGCAAATCCAGCGACCAGATCCAGAGTCAGCCATATCCACCAGAACAGGTACAGGGGAGTAACCACTGAGCAAGTGAGCCAGAGCCAGAGACCACTGAGGGTCTGGATATGAATCTAGGACCTTTAAGGGAGTAGATCTAAGACAGGACCCCTGTGGGTCAGGGTGTGAGTGTAGGACCTCCCAGGAACTAGCCCTGAGACAGGACTTCTGCCAGTCTGGGTATGAGTGAACCTGGGACCTCTGAGGGAATAGGCAGTAACCAGACATCTTGGTGGGGCCAGGTGT